TTCATATCTGACCTTTAATTTGGGGATTTTAATTTCGAGTTTAAGATTTTCCTCACCAGAAGTAGATTTGGATTTTTATGATATAGAGAGATATAGGAACCCGTATTTTGACCCTTGTGATCCATAGATTCTGACCCCCATGACCCTTAAACTGATCTTTGTGACCATTCTAACCCTTGTGGCCCTTAAACTGACCCATGTAACCCTTGTGAATCTTAATTTGACCCTCGTGACCCTTACTCTGGCCCTCATGACCTTCATTCTGACCCTCATGATCCTTATTCCAACCCTGATTCTAAGAAAATCGTTTTTTAATCATTTTAACAAACGATTTTTTGGCACAAGTACGACTTATTATTTCGGAACTTTGTTGTTCTCCTTTCATTGCACGTTTACTTGAATTGTTCGGAAATTTTTCTCCTACTTTTTCTCCGTGTATTGTAGCAACCTGAGAAATTTTGTACACCATTCCAAATATCGCAGAAATTGTATTTGGACTCTCGGCATAATGAAAAATCCTCTCCTTTCTCATAAGGAAACTTGGATTCAAAAGGAAACTGGAACAATGGAGACGAAACATCTCCAGAAAATAGTCATAATTTAATTGGATAAATTCCAGCAGACAACTCAGAAAGATAAAACAGAAGAAAGAAGATATTTGAAAAGCTCCGGAAGATGCAGAGAAAAGTGATTCTGAAATTCTAAACCCATCAGAATGAGTGATCTTAGTGGTGTTGAGGAGTGCAAAAGAAAATACCATGGCAGTCGAGCCGAGGAAAGGAGAAGAATAATGGTGGGTTATAGCGAAATCGTGGGAAAAGTTTCAAATGAAAATTGACGCGCCGCAGGAAAAATATGCACGAAGCCCGAGAGAGGGAAACGAATGAAGTTCGTGGCACCTGGCCTCGGTTGTAATGAGCCCTCACGTTTCACCCCTCACGGTGCAGCATCGAAGTCGTACGCCTAAACGAATTAAAAGTATGTATAAGGGCTACACCAGCTTTTTGCGGAGGAGATGACTTGGGGAAGTTCATCTGGAGCTATTTGCGCCTGGAAAAGAGGAATTTAGTTGCTATTAAAATATACATGTGGAGTTGTTCGTCTCTACTGTGTCCACCATCCAATATTCAATCTTATCTTTCTCTCTGTATATTATACAAATCTAACTCTCAATGATACGACAGCAATGTTATATCACTATTAACATTAACATACGGCTTCGTTAAATCGCATTCAATGTCACTTCTGAAAATTAATAGTCGACTGTCCACCAGAGATAGCCATAATTTAGAATTTCCGTTAAATTTTGAACTTGTCAATTGGTTAGTATTACTCTACGTTTTTTAATTATTAAATTAATCATCAATGAAAAATAGAAAAATTCTGAATTATTTTATCAATCAATAATTTATTTAGGAAGATGGACGATTATTTGGTTAATTATTATGAAATTTAGTATTAGGGGAGGGTGGGGCAAAACGGCCCCCTTCAATTGTCAATAACTTGTGAATGACATTGTGAAAATTCCCAGTTTCAACTTCATTTTGAAGATAATTTTTCATTCTCCAAAACGAGCTCTAACTCATCCCAATCGGATTATTGAATCGGAAAATATTGACGGTTGAAGGGGGGCCGTTTTGCCCCATCCTCCCCTATTTATTCAAGAGACAATTGACAATTCCATATTACCAATTATTTTATTATTTTAAATTTCGATCATTAGAGGTGAACCTTAATCAATGTGAGATTCAACTTCTCTTAATATTGAAGAAGCCAATGATTGATGGCCATCCCTACTGTCCATGAAATTTCATTTTTTTTCTCACAATGTACAAGGCTAGAATCATTCTGCGAAATTCTTATCCCCATAGATTTTTCTTCGACAGATGACATATTTGGCGAAAAAAAATAATTTTGTGATATTAGATCATTTTTCCACCGCAATCATCTCTCATCTCCATTTGAATAATTGTGGTTTTCTCAAATAATTATTGAATACACTGGTAACATTTTGTGTCTAAAATTTCTGGTACGCTTTTTGGGAATTTTTATCGAATTTAATTACGACGGAAATTTCAAGGAATTTCGTTATTGAAAATTCAGAATTACGTTGAAAAATCAAACAGAACTGTCAATTGATTTTTCCCCCTAAATCGTATTCAGTTTCACTATCCTGAAAATTATTAGTCAACTGTCCATGAAATTTCACCTTTTTCTAGCAGTATAATAATCCAATGATGTAATTTTATTGATAATGAAATGATTTCGCTATCCCCAATGAATATTCCAGTTCATTTATGACGAATTTATCTCCAAAAAATGGTAATGCTATCTTTTTTCTCCTCCATACGAAATTTTTTTCCACAACCCCAGATCCGACGGAAGCTCATAATGTATTCGCAAGTTAAGAGGATTATTCTGCCTGTATGTAATAAGACCACTGAAGCCCATCTCTCAGTACCTTGACTTTATGAAATATAGTTTGACGTGCAGCATCACAAAGTGAAGAGGAATATTGGATCAATGGTTCATTCTGAATTAATTTTCCAGCTGAATTCTACAGTCAATTGGTTGAAATTCTGATTTCTCTATTTCCGGTGGAAGTGCCTGTAGTAAAGTTTCGTTTATTCCACATATGAAGTCCTTGATAGCATTCCTCAAGTGTGTGAACGACTCAAAGCAGGGATGTAAACCAAGGAAATTGTCCCTTATATCTTATATCCCCGCTGAGAGCAGTTGATAGGATATGGGGACGCGTAATGTGCTATCTTGCATGTAGTTAAATGTCCCGTAAATAATCGCTGGAACGTATGAAAAAGAAGCGTAAATCAACGCCAGGGCACTATGAGGTAATCTTTGAATCAAGTCCAAAACATCAGGTTGCTGTGCAGTTCAAATTTCCGTCTGTCACGGAATTTTCAACATTCTAGTAAATTTTGTGATTCGTAAATCACAATTTGATGAGAAAATCAATGGAAACTGTGAATTTTGGTTGAATTTTCCAGAGAACATACGTAAAAATTCAAAAATTTTGAAGGTCTCGGGGTGTTATTCCTCATTATTTATTCTCTCAGAATTTTTACAGTGATAATTTTTGATAATTCTTCATTATGCTCAGTTATTTATCATAACAAACGTTTTTTTAGTCATCGTGAGACACCTGATGTTCGAAAAAATTTAATAGAAACTTTTACGAATTCGCTAGAAAATTGTATTGAAATTCTCTAGAAATTGTATGGAGATTTTATTAAAATTTTCGATAAAATTCTGTTTGTTTTTCGCGCAGATTCTATTGGACATTTGGTAGAAAAAAATCAATAGATTTCGTTTTTTTCTGTTTGAATTTTTCTCTTGAGATTTTTTCCATTAAAATTATTGCACACGGATTTTCTAGATTTTCCGATATATTTTGTTTTGCATGACAGGATCTGAGTGAAAAAAACTTAGAAAATTCATGCCCAAGTATTCGGTAGAAAAATTCCAAGAGAATATGCATGTAGTAAAATCGAAATCTATTGACTTTTCTCTATCAAATATCTCATAAAATCAGCGCAAAAAACAAATAGAATTTTTGCAAGAATTCCCTAGAATTTTAATAGAATCCCAATAGAATTTCGGGAAATTTCGTCAAGTTTTTCTATTGAATTTTTTCATGCGTGATCGATTAAAGATTCAAAATTATTAATTACTGTTTTATTTTTTATTCATCTCTATCATTGAATTTTTTTTCTATGTATCATTTATTTTCCTAATGCATTTGTAAGTGTATGAAAGTTAATACATTCGAAATTTGAGTGAAAAAAAGAAAGCTTCTCACAAATGAATGAGTTGAAGGATCAGCGACTGCTTCAGCACGAAGAGGAAAATTAAGATAAAAATTACCAGAAAAAAAAGTAAAAATTTCCAACATATTAACGTTCCGACTGTAGTTTCTTCCATAATAAACGTTGGGGGGGTTATTATGGGAGTAAAAATTTCGTTTCGAAACGTAATCCGCGAGGAAAATAAAATTTAATAAAAAGTGTGAGTCGGAATTGAAATTGTACGAATCGCCACGTAAATTCTACGATTTGTTCCGTAAAAATTAACCACCCGTCTGATGACTCACCGCTATGGGGACAAATCGTTCTGTATTTTTCCCCAACAATTGAGAAATTTTACGGAACGGAACGTAGAAATAACTCACCAGTTTCATAAAAATTGTTGAACGTTCAAGAATTTTTGATTTTGGATCTTGGAGATGGATATTTCTGTAAGATTTTACATCTTCGGGAAAAATCACATAACAATTTCGTACTTTGTTCGGTGATGAACCTGAGGATTCACTGAACGTTTCAAATTCCTTCTCTTTCATTCCTATAAAAATTGCCGGAAAACGATTCCCCATTGCGGATTACGTCAATTGTTCCGAAATTTTCACTGAATATTTCTCTCCGTGAGGGCCAATAATTATCACCAGTTACTGTCAGATCTGGAAATTACTACTGAACTGCTGGCCCTCCTTCAAGATAAAAAATAAAAAACCTCACGTTAATTAACGTCCACGAGCGAAACGACGAGATTTGAGGTCATAAACAACCATAGATAAATCCAACTCTATTATAGGTACTACGCAATATCGTGCAGAATTGATGGACTTCAAAGTACTATATAAGCCCTCTGTTTAAAACAAATATGACCTATCTCTGGACTTTGCATTTCACCGTGATTTTCTGCCCACACATACCCACAGTACATCCATCGATGATTAATAAATCCACCGAACCAATGAGAGACTATTCCAAGGCTTCAAATTAAAACGAAAAAATTCCCTGTATTTGAATGCAACCAATCCCCAATTATTCGTGTTTTACCTATTCATTACCCGGTTTTTTTTTTCATACAAATGCTTTCAAAGGTTCTACCCGCTATTCATCGAAATACTCTCTAATCTATAACGAATTTCCCCAAAGCGAATTTTCATCCACCATTGAACCTGTATTTTTCATTCCATTTTACAGAATTCATCATCACCGGGAGGCAGCAATGATGGCTTAACAAAGCAGCAAATCGAACTCATCCAACAAATAATGCAACAGACCCAGCAACAGCAGCAGCCAGCTAATTGCCAACAATCGTCAACAACCAGTGGTGCTGCAATTTCAACGCAAACAAAAAACGGAAAACCATCAAACAAATCCGCTCATTCACCAAATGGTAATTCTACACCCGGCAATCCTAGCTCTACAAATACCACCAATTCTAGTTCGAAGACAAAGATTTGGAATCAAAACCAGGTAAATACATTTATTTTTTTATTTTATCAGCATTTTGAATAATTTTTTCGTTTGAATTCAGAAGAATTAGTGACGTCGCAAGACTGTATCAACATTTTGAATTATTTTTTCGTTTGAATTCAGAAGAATTAGTGACGTCGCAAGACAATAAAACAGACGAGACGAGACAAGAGAACATTTTTCGATTGTATATGAATAGCAAAACAAAACAAGATCTCGAACAAAAGACAGAGGAGAGCAAGAGTAACAATTTTGAGGCAAAAAATGAAATGAGAATGAGAAAGTGAACAATTCCCAGCATTTTTCATCTTCAAAATTTTTCTTAGTCGCATTTTTCTCAGCTTTCTTTGCCTAAGTTCAACATTTTGAGCCCTTGATAGTTTTGGTGAGAAAACATCATTATTAAAATCAATCCGTTTTCATTGTCCCACACGTTGCATTTTTATAAAAATTATTATTATACCCATGAAAAAAAGAGCAAGACATGTAAAAAAGCGGGTGCCTGTACCGCCCACTCGTATTTCTCAGGATTGGCAGCGAAAAAAAAATTATTCTTTTTTTATTATGCAAATATTTGATAATAACAAGTAATTTGCACAGAAATGTTCAATTTTCTACCGTGGAAACATCGTTAAAAGCATCCAAATCATTTCCTACCGAATTCCTAAAATATTTCGACCCCGGAATTTAAGATTTTTCAAATTTCCAGTTGGTCCATAATTGAATGAAGTACGAAATATCTGTTCGTTATACATTTCCACATCCGTCGCGAACTTTGTGATAACAAAACAACATCTTCATCAGTTATTATTGGCTATTTTATCAGCCTACTCGTTTCTGGGTAATTCCGCCCAGAGTTTGTGGGTAATGCCACCCAGGGTTTCTGTAGGGCTGCTAGACTCAGCAGCTAGAGGGCGGTCGAGAGACAGCTCGATTGTTTAGGGTAGTCGGTGGCCACTGCAACATGGGGTAAATTCAGGATAATTTATTATTATTCACGTGAAATCTTTCTCAAAATGGAGCCAAAGAATGGAAACGAAGGATGAAAATAGGAAAAATTATAACAGTTGGTCTGCATTGCTCAAAAAAGTCATCAAATCAAGATGAGCGGTATAGGACGAATGTCGGGCGGTATTACCCGCAAAGTTCGATTCCATCGCTCACTGGCCGATGGCAATTGAATTACATAATTAAATATGTTTAATGTTAATAAAAAATCTGTCCTCTTGACATCTTCAAGTAATCACCTCGAAGAACTCATTCTAACCGTTTATGACTCCTTGTAGAGTGCGAGGCTGGAAAAAAAGACTCATTTCCCTTAGGTGGGCGGTACATGCACTAGCTCATGTATGAGAGGCAAGACAGAACAAGAGGACCGTGATTTTTGTTGTGTCTTGTCTTGTCGCATCACTAAGAAGAATCCAGTAAATTGTGGAACAACCCTCCATTTTTAAGTGAATAATCACTTGTTTTCTATTTATCATTGAATACTGTTACCTTTCCATAATTTTCTTGAGGAAAAATTCTTCACTCAACAAAACAATGTGTTTCATGAAATTGTTGTAATCTCAGACATCCCAATCGCACGTAAATTATTAATTCTGAGAAACTCAAGTTTATTCCTCTAAAAGAGAATGTAGACATCAATTTGGAGCTGTCGAAGTGCAGAAAGGCTGCATGACACGTCTGGTTAAGAAACACAACCCATTCCTTGTCTAACAATTTCCGAAAATTTATGATGTACATCACAGGTCGTGAAATCTTTTTACACCCAAACACCATTATTAGAATGGCCTTTGTTTTGAATCAAAGCAAATGCCGCTATTCGTCGTACCTCGAACGAGACGTGATTGAAATTTACGAACTTCCGTGATGTTTCTCCAGTACTTACTCAAAAAGTTATGAGACCGTAGCTCCTCCGTTCGTTAATGCCGTCATTATTACCAGAATTCCGGCGCTAAACTTTCCTCCACTGGTACGTGAGACTTTGATCATTTTTTTGCACTACACTTTCATGGGTTTTATTAATGATCACAGAGGCAAAAAATTGGTTTTCAGCGACATGTCAATCCCTATCAATCTATCCCTCCCATTTAGGAATTTGTGATTGTAAAATTCAACGAGTGCAAAATTCAAAGATTTTGTGATTTTGTCACCAATTTTTAGTAATACAAGATCTATGCGCGCGCTCTCGCGTGCGCTGATCTATTCATTTGTTGATCTATTCAATTTCTAAGGTATCTTATAGGAAGCCTCTATTGTACATTTTTTCTTGTCAATTTTTAAACCATAAGTTTCTTGATATAACTAAAGACGTAGTTCACAAAAAAACGTGTTCTTCTCAATGTAGAATCAACCCTGCAACTTGAGTCATGAATCATTCAGTCATAATTTTGTTGCGTCTATGTAATTCCAAATCAACTTTCAAATTGAAAAATATAAGATGTTGACTCGAAATAGTCGAATACCGCGCCTTTTCGTTCGCTCTTTGTCTTCCACTTCTTCTTCCTCGAATGAAGAATCGCAATCAACTTTATAACGCTGACAAAGAAAGTGCAGCTGTAGTGAGGACAAGTAGAATCGGGAAAGGCGCCTTTAAGCTTGAGACCGCCTCGTGCGACCTTTCATGTTCAATGCTTTCATCAGGTTTGATTAGTTTTTCCTCCTTTCCAGACTGTGAACACTTTTTTCCCCTCCAAGTTCCTTTCGCTGGCAGTGACTTCTGTACTGACTTCTGACAGCTGTCCCTTTCAGAGTTATTAGAATCAATTGAGGTTTTCAGGATTTCTGGAGCAACTGTGGACAAACAAGAATTCTATATTTTTCTCCAACCTCGAAACTAATAAATAGTGTTTATTGTTCTTTCTATTGTTTGCCACGGCTTTCATCAGGATAATATTCAACCTTATTATATTAATCCAGAACTTGAGTAGATCAAGCGGTTCTTTTCCATTGTATAGATTCTTCAGAGAAAATTGACTGCATGAAGAGAAAAGCCCGGGAATTTTTATGGAGAAATTTCGCAGACAATTCTAGTTTTTCGTGCAGCATAAAATTTTCTTTATTTCAAATTTACTTTCCTATGTAAATCAATGATTGAAAATTCTGTTTAGTATTAGTTAAATCATTGTAGGCTGTTGTGAATAGGAATTGTGATGTTGAAGTATATATGTTATTTTGATAGAGCTGCCCGAGTCGAATAATTGGACCTGACAAATTCTACTTAGGTCTCTCCGTTCAGAACTGGATAGGTCTTGGGAAGCCTCTTCCCAAGTGCTTCCGAGACCTTTCTACCTCTGGTTATGTCCCACTTCAGCACTTGTTAGGTGTAAGCAGGACTTGCATTCAGACTTTCCAAATCCTTGCCGGTCCCCGTAATTCTATGGGCCTATATTAAATCTGCGTTCATATCCCTATTTACTCATGCGTTATTGAAATAAAAAATGCAATTATTGTTTTTTTTTTAATCTCGAAAATCGACATTTCACGGGAGGGTGGAGGGGAGATGCATGTATGCGGAGGCTTGACATTTTTATCCAATAAGCGAAGAAGGTTGCAGAATCTATTCTAGCCACTCTTGCCTCTCCGCTTGCATGCATTGTCCCAATAAAAAAAGAAAGTGTTAACAAATCTGACCCTTGTTCCAAGTAAAAACCGAAATACTGACCCTGTGGCCGCCGGTGAAATTTTTTTTTTTCAGTTTTCACTTTTTCCACGTACTTTTGAGAGTTCTGAATAGCCCGTCGCTTAAATAGTTGGAATCAACGTTCACCCGGCTAAAAAATTCGATTTTGTCGAAAGTCGACTTTCTCCCGAGAAAAACGAAAAATCTGACCCTTTGAAAATTTGAAAAAAAAAACTTTTTCAGTTTACACTTTTTCCACATACTTTTGAGAGTTCTGAATAGCCCGTCGCGTGAATAGTTGGAATCAACGTTCACCCAGATCCGATCAATTAGCCCCTCATGTATAGATATTCCAAATTT